GGTTTTTCTGCCTCTGACTCCAGCAGGAGCTGGATGTCCTCCGGGAACTCGCCCCTCCTGCTGAGAAGTTTGGACGGTCACTGTGTTTACTCAGGAGGGTTTTGGTGAAGTCCTGTCCCGTCGCCCTTCGTACAGCTGCTCGAGCGGGACACCACAGCAACAACACAGCTTTGCTCAGCTGACTTTTCTTTTCCCGCCCACCCACTCCTGGGAATAATCCCTTGAGCGGAATTGGGCCATACGCCTTTCGAGGCTCCGATTTCAGCTGCTTCGCCCGCTGATGCTTAGCAATATGGCTTTCTGGTTATCATGCTTTACGTCACACTTATGCTTTTGCTTCTACGATACGGGCTTTTCGTGACTGCAGCATCTTGGGCCTTGTGACGGCTCGCTTGGCCAAAGGCCCTCAAACCGCAGACAGCAGTCACTTCCGGCAAGCCGAAACAAAAGAGTGTTGTGCGAGTGCTTTGCACATGTCTTCTCATTGTAGCTTCATGCTTTCCTACTCCGCTTTGTTATAGCTGCTCGCACGCTGTAGCCTCTGTGTTAGTTGTGTGGTGTAGGACTTCCCATGAACGGACAAACTTCTGTGCGTTCAACACGACGTTGCCCAGGAAGAAGTTGGAACAAGGCGAAGCGCAGCCAACTAAATCGTTGCTAGGGTCCAACCGCTCAAATTGGAGGCCAAAACAACGAGGTTGTCTTGCAGTCCCAAAAATGAGGCCGACATGGACCCGGCTTCCGCACAATTGGAACTACATTGGAGGAAGTAAAATCAAAAAACTGTGACCCCAAAATAAAGAGTTTCGTAGCCGCGAATGCTTCCATTTTTGGGTAATTTCCAGACACGACATTCAAACGATCGGGCCCATAGACAAGCACTCCACGCAACGCGGATGTCAGTTACTGAGAACTACTTGCGTTTGGAGACGTGTAAAATAGCCACTTTGGAAGCATGTATGCGCGATTCTGCAATTTCGAGACCTCATCTGAGCATTCCTTTACCTTGCCTGCACAGTGGAGTTTGCAAGGCAGAATGAGCAAAAACCAAGAGCAGTTGCAAGTTGTTCGAACATTTTTGTTGCGTCGACGAAGCCGTTGTCAGTGGTCAGATTGTTGATCACCTTTCCGATGACAGTGCCAGAACAACAAGCCAGAGGTTTGTCACTCTAAATTTCTTGTCCCGCTGATCACCAGTGTCTATCATTGAGGTGGAACGATGCTGATTATTTTTGTGTAATTTTTTCCGAAAACATGCCAATAAGATTTTTTTCGAAGGAAGAAGAGTTTTCACAGCTGAGCTCTGTGCCGAAAAATACGTTTTTAATGATTTTGACGTTGATGAGAGAAGAAGATCGCCGAGAGTTCACGTGCTTGTGTCTTCGAGTAAGAGTTTTACTTGGTTTTTACTTGCTTTTGGACTTGTCACAAGTGTTGTCGTCCAAGTCTGTCTAGAAAGCTTGGTGTTAAAATCTGTCTCGGTTTTTGATTTTCTAAAAGCAGTTGGTCCAAAAGTTCCTTTCCTGCAATTAGCAGAAAGGGTTTCGTGCCATTCGGACTAAGCAGACGTGTTTTCGAAATTTAGCACAGCATTTCAGGCTGTCTTGAGCGTTTACAGCCACAGTTACGGACATTACCTTGAAGCATGACGTGTTGAGTGTTGCCAAGTCAAAAGCAGATGTGGTTTGGAAGTTTTGACCTTCATTCAGTCTGGCCTCAACGTTAAAAGTAGCATATGTGGTCTGAAGACGCTTGGAGGCAACTTTTGGGGGGTGTTGAGTCTCTGGCCTCAAGGTCAAAGCAGCAGACGGTTCTGGAGACTTGCTCTTAGAGAGACAAGCTTTTGTGGTGTCCAGAGTCTGGAGTTCAAGGTTCAAGACCAGGTTCATGTTTCAGGCTTGGAGTTTGGGTTTGGCTTCCCAGTCGACGTGCGCCGACAAGACAACGGACATGTTTTTGAGTCCGAGCGTTCCAACGCCACGCCTTCAGAAAGATGCGCCATTGGGGCCGGTGGCGCGGCTTTGGGTGCGCTCACCACGAAAAACAGAGCGCGGCATCTGGAGCGGCGCGGCGTTTCAAGTGGTGAGTTTACCGCGCGCAACGCCGAGCCCGGCTTCCAAATCTTTGGAAAACTTGCTTGCGCTCCTTTACTTGCAACTCGCAACTTCAAAAAGAATGAAACCAGTGTTCAAAAGCCGAAATCCCAAATATAGATTCACGGGCGTCGAAGTTGTGGTGAAGACAAGGCTCGACCAGAGTGGGTTTGCTGACGGCTCAGACGTCATGGCTTTTGTCCCGGAGGAGGGGACTAAGAACTACATGCGCCCGGGCCGCTTGGGCTTTCTTGCGGGTTTAGGTTTTTAGGGAGATTCGAAGGCCCCTCTCCGAAGCTTAGCACGCATATAGATCTCAAAAATTTGAAGCCTCCTTGGGACACAGCCTGCATGCCCTTCCCATCTCCGATGCGCTTCCTCAAAATGCCATGAGCTTATACAAACTCGGCCCGGACACGAAGGACCGGCAGTTTCGCCACGCCCCGCAGCTTTTCTCAAAGAGAACCCCAGACAATAGATATCACATGGGACGCCACGGCAGGCATACAACACATTTCGGAGAACAGTCACTGGGAGTTGGCCACCCGGCTTTAGGCAGATCCCAGCAATGCAAAGTTTGCCGCCTCAACGCCAAGACACATAGTGTCATATGGGCTGCAGCATTCATGCGCAGCTTGGTCTTGCTGATCGCATGTGTGGCGGACGCTGTGTGGCAGGATCCGCAAAGGACGCCATGCTGAATGATAATGTCCACATGTAGGCCTCAAGTTTATATTGGCTTGCACTCATTGCATGTGCCAAGTGACTTGTATAGCTCTTGCAGCATCACGGCTGTTTCCATTTCTTGCTGCAGTTGTGTTTTTGCTGTTTATCCTGCTCTTGCTGCAGCCGTCTCCAACCACAGCAAGCAGGCCCAGGTACAACGGCTACTGAGCGACTGCGATTGCCAGACGAAGACACTTATTACTAAAGCCTGAAGCGGTCACTCCTACGACTGCTGGTGCTAAAACTTCTTCTTGTTTTACAAGCATTACTAGCACCTGATACTATAACTACTATGGTGATATTAATGCGACTTACAACGACGACTGCTAGAGAATAGCTACTGCTGGGATAAGTGCTGGGACCGTTTCTGCTGTCACACGATCTCCAGTAGCGTCAGACGACGTCGTACCGGGAGGACAGCGCGTCCAACGAGTGATTCCAGCTGGCGGCCAAAGTGTGCGACGAAACAGAGTGACTGCAGCTATTTACGGTTCAGGGTTCAGAGCACATCTCAAGTTTTTCTGATTGCATCATATTTGGCTGACGAGAGCGTAGTGGAGATTCAGCAACACACCAAGGTGACAGATCTAAGAGGGAGATCAGCATTAACGAGAAGTCTGGAGTTTGGGGCTTTCGCTCCTGCCACAGGACGACCTGGTTTTGACAAGTTCACCCGATTCAGACTAGTTTTGCAGGTTTACGTGGAAGGGAAAACCTCTTTGTTTTTTTTTTGCGGGGGGGGAGCCAGGACGTATCTTCTGGACGTTGGTTTGGCCCACCACATGGGCCTTACTTTTGCCAAGTCCAGCGTTCTGGAGTTTGGAGCCTCGGCTGGGTGAAGCACTAATTTCCACAAAGTGGGAGGATGTTTTGTTTCTGTTCTTTCCCCCCGAGCCCTAAACCCTGGCTACTGGCATCCTCGGCCGTCTATCTTGTCGAGGTTGGAGGGGTGAGCTCCGCATCTATAGGTTTTCAGAACCTTTCAGTCTCATGGGTTCTCAGAAGTGCGTGCGGGGAGTTCGAATCTCAAATCCATCGCAAGGAGCCGTGCGAGTTGGAGGATTCATGGGGGTCCCTCGTTTCCTATTCAGTCTCGAGGTCACCGCTACTTGTATTCAGGCGTTACGTGCTTCTATGGCCAACTCAGGCTTATTGCTGCTTACTATAGTTGCATGCCTCATTTCATGCCATTCAGCGTCAGGAGCTGGTTGTGGCTGTTACACTTCTTATTTGCGAGACGTCGCCCATGCTGAGTCGGTCACCGCGTACGACGGCATTCCCAACATCAGGAATCTTACGCGTGGCCTCGTTTCTGAGGCAGACTTGACGGTGAATCTGAGTTCTTTGATCCGAGCCCATGACTGGACTTTGTGTACCGAAGTTACAGAGCACATACCTGGCGAGTTTGAACAGACGGCGCTAGCAAACATCGTGCGCCCTGCTCGCTGTGGTGTACTACTGAGTCTTGATCATATCAGTGCAAGTTTTTGTGCTGTTGCCGTCTTCGTGGTTTTATGCCCCCAAACATAAGGTCACTTGCAATTTTTATGGCATAACCTTCTATAGTACAATGCGACAATATAGTACTTACAGTATTGTAAGATGTTGCATATGAGAGCTTGAGCATGATTGGTAGAATAGAGAAACGTGAGACTTAGGAGCTGGGCCGTCCCGGGTCAAGGGGGCCAGGGACACGTGAACGAACAGTGGAATGAGTATGTGGTGTACCGAATGCAAAGCTTCGGCCTCTACTTCGATCTTGAGAGCAGCCTGAATCTTCGTGCTGCTGCTGATACCCACTGGTTCAAGAGACTTGCCGCTGATCAAGGGACGCAGGGTTTTGTTGTGTGGTGGCTGACGTTGTTGCTGATTCCCGGAAGGTCACAGAAGGCTTTGTTCTGTTTGAGTGCGTTGCTTCCAACACAGGATGGCAGCTTTCGGTAGGAACGAGAAAATGCTACCATATGCTAGTCAGAATCTGGAGTGGAATCGTCGAGCCCGGTTGCATACATGTATACCCCTTCAGATGCTTGTGACTTTCGTCCTTGTGTCGTTGTTGGCGTTTTTCTCAGTGCCTGTGCCGCCCTTCGCTCTTATGGTGGTTTAAATTCCCCAGCAGGCTAAACTTGGCGTGGTCGGGTGCATGCCATCGGCTGCAACTTGCTTGGACCACCTACCTGCGTGTTTGGGATATTTCATGTTTTCCATCAGCTGCGAACATCGTGCGTGGCATGGTTTCGTGCATCGGAAATCACCCTTTTGGACTCTAAAGACTTCCATGTTCTTTGGCAGGTTTTGGCGCGGCTAAGGCTTCGGATGCCAAAGAACACAAGAGGTTTGGCGGCGTGGTTTGGTTGTAATACAAATGTAGTGCACGAACGTCCCCGGGGCCTCTGCGTGAACAAGTGCACATTCGTGGTACCAGCATCCGAAGAAGGAATCATGTTAAGAAAGGCAGGCGTTGGATATGGCAACTCGTCGAGAACATCGTAAACATTCGTGGCCCGGCGGGCTTCGGGATACGTGTGTGCTTCTGGGCTTGTGGCCCCTATGAGGTTTGAATTTCCAAGGCTGGTGGGTGATGCTGAAGCTGACCATAGGTGATGGTGGCGATGATGTCGTTGATCAGCTGATGATGAGGATGACGATGCACGATGGATTTACTTCTCTCTTGTTTGCTCTACTGCTTCTCTGGCTCAAAGTGCTTCTGGGACAACCTTCGGCGAATTTGGCTGTTCTGTTGCTGCTTTTGGTCGTTTAGCCAATAGTAGAGCATAGTGGAGCGATAGTTTTGCATTTCCGACAACCAGCAGCCAGGAGAACATTGATGCTTTTTCGTCGCCCGGAGTCGCCTGCACGTTGCAGAGAGTCGCAAAAGTCCACCAGCGTGTACATCTACGATCACGACGCGCTCCGTTTGCTTCGGCCATGGTTGAGTGGAGTGAGTCCTCAGCTGTGGGACGACTACTATGAGCTCTCTGAGAGTCCCTGGAATGTCTTGAACCGGAGTGAGTCTTGTTTTGAAAGCAAACCTTTCATGTCTTTGCATTTGTTTTCTTTCCGTGTTTTCTCCTGCATCTTGCAGCGATTCTTGAGTAGCGAGCACACTGCCGCCCTACACTGAAGACTTCCTCGCATATCCCTAGTATATGGTTGCTATACCCGGGCGCCTCCCCACTGAGCCGCCTTTTCCTCACATGCAGTTTCAGATTCCTTCCGTGATCCCCAACCCTTAACCTTCAAACAACTGTTGGCTTGCCTCAAGCCAGAGTAGCCGGAGGTGGAGCGAGGACTTGCACTCGTAGAGCGTAAGTCGTAAAGTAGTTACCTAAACCTGATGTTCTCTCCAATCCCTGGCCGCTGAAAGAGATCAGAACTGCCACCGCGGCGGCGCTTTGGGTAAGCCCTGCACCAGAGCAAAGAGAACCCAGACTGCTTTGGGTACTTTGGACGCTGCCCCAACCCACTGGTTTCCAGCTAAGGAGGAATTGGACTTATCCTTTCCCGATGCTTTTTTGCAAAAGGAGCTGCGAGCCGTGGTTGACAGCCGCTGGCAGCAAGTGACTGGTCTGTGTTATTTGGGATTCTTGTTTAGTTGTCTTTGTTTCGGCTTCTATTGTAGATCCGCTTCCCTCACTTGGGGACCTAGGTGAGGGTGGTGCAGGAGCCGAAAAAGGCTGAACTGCTGCTCTTTTTGGTCTGGCAAAAGGCCTTCTGTCTGGCTGCCGGAGAGGAGCAGACCCCTTGCCCAAGCTACCTCAAGCTTCTCGACTGGCTGGAAGCGACATCAAGGTGGCAGCTTCATCAAGGTCGTGACCATGTCATCCTGCTGGACCACCTACCCAGTTTCACGCGTAGCAGAGGCGGTGTAACGCGTCGTTCCATTGTAGCCACGACGGCGGATGGCATGCCTGGCAGTCATGCCATATCTGTTGCCCTGGCGCTTCCCTACTATGTGCCTTTTTGGAAGTATCATGCGGGACCTCCAAACCGGGATCGGAAAGCACTGATCGGGTTTTTGGGGAGCGGGAGCCCGAGCTCCACGAGACGGAATGCGACGGGTGTGGTGCGCGTCTTGAAGCTGGCGGAGGACTTGTCTGGAAACTGCATGCAGGGCGAGTGTCGAGTACGATGGACGGACCAGCCTGCGACGCACCCCGAGGATTACAAGATCCTGAAAGATTCCATCTACTGTCCTGTCACGAGCTCGAAGGTGCTCTTTTTGGCGATCCTGGCCGGATGCATCCCTGTCATCATTTCAGACCTGCCTGTTTTCTTCGAGCCCATTTTGTACTGGGAGGGAAGTCACATTTCCGTACCTCCGGCCGATTTTGAGAGCCCAACTTTTTCGCTTGTACAGTTTCTTCGCGGAAAGAGCCTGGGACAAGTTCCCAGGAGGCAGGCGCGCCTATTTGAAGTTAAATCAGCTCTGATTTTCTCCCACGGCTGTCCGCCTCTGTGGGAGTCTCGGCTACCTTCAAGACAGCGAACGCCCTGGTGCCGCCATCAGGCGGGCAGCATGCCTGATGCAGTGGACTATTTCATGCATAGCATATTGCACCTGAGCAGTCTGCGCAGCACTGGTTAGGATGCGGTGGGCTCAGTATTTCTGAGCTGGATGGGTTTGGACATGTTTATTCAGTGGGGCACATCGTGAAATCGGCCTGATGTCCGTCTTGTGCATCTGGGGCGGCAGGGAAGTCAAGAAGTGGCGCTCTCTGGACCATCGTCATGTGCACCACTGGATCTTCGACTCCCTCTCTCAGGCTTTCATGATCTCCTTATGGCAGGAGGGATGTCAGTTGCTTCAATGTGTCTTTGGGCCATGGGCTCCGGGAGTCCTACGACGAAAGTAAGGGTGTGGCGGGGAGCGCTGAGGCTGGTGCCCATAGAACCTCCAGTGTTGGCTCATGCGTGGCCCGCGCGCCCCGAGGAACCTTGCTCGCCGGTCCCTGGGTTCTCGGTGACGACAACTATGACCGCTTGAACTTGTGTCTGTGGCAGGCGCTGTGCGGAAGGTACGTGCACTATGATGTATGAAGAGGAAAGGCGCGGAACACGTGCAGCCAGATTCTGAAAGCTTGTCGGTCAGTAATCGTCCAGAATCGTCCAGCCGGTTGGGTGCGTGGCTTACTGAAGACCCTGATGAATAAACCCCATACCAGGATAAGTTAAGCATTGCAATAGAGATCCTAGCATGAAGGTTGCACTGGGGTTTGTTCATCAGGGGTCTACGTTGGGTAATGCAGGATTGTGTGTGCATGCTTTGAAGGGTTTCTAGAAGTTGACGAAGAATTTAGTCGCGACAATAGCGCGATGTGGTTGGGCTTGCTTCGTGGCTATTGCGTAACCGGAAGGTTTAGAGATGCGGGCCAAAGGTTCAGGTAACTGTATCTAGATCAGGTAAGTGTAAGAAACCCTGGGTCTATATTGGGATTCTTTGCATTAATCCTAAAAATTTGGGGGTTATAGGGCCAGGGTTTTGCTCAATCAGGTTCCTGCGTTAGTGAAATGCACCTGCACCTCCTCTTCTCTCCCCCTTGCCTGTAGCTACACAACACGCTTGAACAAATGATAGTACTAGTCCTCTTTAAAACACGAGTGTCAAGAGCCACAAGTACTACTCCTGCACCCTGAGCCCAAGTTAGTACGACACTAGAAGACGGAAAGGAACGAAAAGCGCCTCGCATTTCTTGAGGGGTTTCGGATCCTGGCGCATTCTGGCATGCGCGGCGTGTGATTTGGTATAGGTCCTGAGTACTGATCTTGTAGGTAGCAGCCCTAAACCCTAAGACTTGAAACCCTAGTGCCCATAGGCTCTAATCCTGAGACCCTAAACGCTATCATCCCAAAGCCCTAAGACCCTCAAAACCTAAAGCCTCAATACCCCAAAGCCCCAACAACCCTAAACCCTAAGCCTTCGCTTAGTTTCGAGGTTCGGTCACGCCAGGTGCATGCTATCGGATCAAGGTCTCTTCTTGAGTTAGGCTGCTCGAGGGGCCGAGACAACTACAACATTTTGGGTTTTGGGGCGTACGATGCGTCACTAATGATGGAGACAATAAGGGGATAAAAGACTAAATAGTCGGATTCCTCCCTCACAGTCCCGTAATAGTTATACATGTTGAGTTGATTCCAATTATTCAGGCCCCTATATAAGACAGCCCACTCCACAGCCAATGCTATGCGCCACCTTTACATCTCCCTGGCATGTGGTGCGTGGACGGTTGCTGCCTGTGTTTTGCTATGTTTCGATTGTCGATTTATCGAACGGGCCCATGCTCACGTAATAGTAACCCACCCTTCTTATAGCATGCTTATCATATACTATAGTACAAGGTCATTGGCGCGGACGAACCCAATCCGTGTGAAAAGCGGTACTTGGAGAACAGCGGCTTCGGTGGCATCGGATGCCGAGTCTCCCTGCAGTCCTGTGCTTAGCGCTCTGCGTCATAGCTCCGAAAACCGGTGAATGCAAGTTGGAAGTACAAGACCTTAATGTAGGCAAAGCTTTTGGGAGCCGCCTACCTAGTTTATGCCTATACAGCAGCACGAAGGTCCGGCGAATACTACAGCCTCCCATTCTCTCAAATTGAAGAGATCTTTGCAGCAGCCGTGCATGCCCTGGAAGACTGTCGAGCGATAGGGGGGATGCTTTGGTCTGTCGAATTCCCGACGAACACATCGGGCACCAACTCACGGGCAAGATGGGAGAAAGCTACACTTTTGCGTCCGATGGGCATTGGTTTCTGTGCCCCGGGCATCTGCAAGAGGCGGCAATTGCCACCGCTCGTAGAGGACTACGTTTCCAACTACATGGGTTTCCAAGCAGAGATCGCTCCGCACCACATACGTTTTACGGAGCTTGGCAGTTGGAAAGACTTTAACATTCAGTTTGCAGTAATTGGCCTCGACCATTGTGGGACGACCTCCGCTCGGATGAATTTGGGGTTGCATCCAGAGGTGGAATTCTCTAAGTCACAGGTGTCTGCGCTCTTTGAAGACACATTCTTCACTTGGGGCCTTTCATGGTCGCTACTTCCACCAAGATATCTACAGAAGGGTTGGCTAGAGTTCAACGATGCGCGACGGCAACGTTCATCTTCAGTGCTTGGAATACACAATGCTATCCTGTGGAGGCATTCCGTCGCCCGCCTGGCCCTGCGCCAAATGAATCCAGGTCTCCCAGTAGTACCTTTCTGGCCTTTTTGCTTTGGGGTTTCCATCATAAACTCTTACACCTGAGCAAGAAGAGAATGTTTACCCTATTGAGGGAAAGGAGACCTCACATAGAACCCTAACAGCACCTCTAAAGCACCTTTAAGCCCTTCCGAATCCTTATGAAGCAGCATGGGGGAACTAAGGAATTCTGGATTTGCGCCTCTAACCCTAAACCCTCACTAAACCCAAAGGAATGGTCGACTTGTAAACCCAAAGCCCTATGTAGGGTTTAGTGTTTAGGGGCTTAGGCTTTAGGGTTTAGGGGTTTAGGCTTTGGGGATTAGGGGTTTAGGGTAAGCCTTACTGTAAGGAATGCTCGACCTTTGCTGATAGTTTGTTCACCAGCTCGCCGCTTAGCATCCTTGGCGATGCTTGGACACATGGGGGCCTCTCGAGGTCCAGATGCTGGGCTCGCGTGTGGAAGTGTAGGGTTTCAGGGTTTGGGCTTTAGGGTTTTTAGGTTTAAGTTTAGGGCCTTAGGGCTTTAAATATTCCATCAGTACAGGATATGCTAAGGCCTTAAAGAAATTCGTATATGACGATTTCAGGGCAACGTATGTACTCCATGGGCACATGGACCCTTTGAGCAAGATCTTGAAAGTTACCAACCTAAACCGGCGACAAGAGCCCAGGAGACCGTAGCTGTCGCCGACCTAATCCGAGATGCCGACGCCGACGTGGCTTCAATAGCCCATCTGAAGGAATGGCGGCGCCTGTTTGGGGATCTTTTGATCGTTGTCCATCAAGAAGCACTGATGGAAATAGGCACCTACAACATGGTGTTTCCTCTTCTTGGTTTGGATCCGATGCCTGCCGGCACATCACTGGGACGGTTCCACGTCAGCAGCCACCACTGGAAGAGCCGACTGTGCCACAGCAAGGACAAGGCATTGCTCAATCAGCTAAATCGCACGCTACGGCCCTGGATGATTGCCAGCCATCAGCTTTTGCAGCAATCAAGCCAAGATATCCCAGCTTCACTCTGGCAGCTGCAGGGGCATTGTAACGACGGCCCAGATTCTCGTTTGAAAGTTTCGAGCGGAGTTCGCCGACTGGGAGTTCTGTCCTAAGCTTCCCGAGCCGGGTTTCGGGACGAAAGATGGAAGCTGAGTTGTTAAGAGAGCGATGGGTTCGGAGCCGCGAATCTGGATTTAGGGCTTGGGATCTTAAGGGTGGGCTTGAGTTTAATTACGGATTAAAGGTTTGAGGTTTTCGGGCTTAGGGTGTGGCATCTCGCAATGCAGCATCTTGCGAAAAAAGGCGCGTCTGAATCATTGGAGGGGGACTTAAACAAGCAACTTATATCCCCGAGAGCAACTACAGTGTGACTGCAGGTGCCAAGGCTTTGGTGCGAAACATTACATACAAACCGAAGTAAGGCTGTACGTCCTGACATAGAGTGAAGAGACCCAAAACAAACTCGCCTGATCCCTAAACTTGATAATCAGAAAGCACAAGCTGAAGTCAAAGCCTTTCTGGATGTGTCCGAAGCCCTATACCCTAAACCTAGGTGAGGGAGGAATTCCAAAAGAGTGCAGCCCTGGGGTGTGGAGCTGTGGAGTGGAGCGGAGTGGAACGGAACAGCTCCACACCCCAGACCTGCACTCTTTTGGAATTCCGATTGCGAACAGATCTCGGGCCTAGACTTCCCCGGGAGCGGTGCTCCTGTGGGACCTGAAACTGCATCCTGTTGCATTTTAGCAGCGATTCGACGTAGAAGTGACTCCATGAATCGTGGATCCTCGATCCCCTCAGCTGCAACACAGCGGGGGGTGGGTACCCCTTTCCAAGAGAGAGGCATGCTCCTTGCTGGACCGGTGGATTGCCACCTGCCGATAAGCCTTGCTCAAGTCCAAAGTCTTGCCTTTCCCAGAAGGCTTCCAGCCTAAGACCTTTTTTGAGCTCTGATTCGAAACTTGCCCAGAAGCCGACAAGGCCTGTGGACTCTCGACGTGTAGTCTCGATAGGAAACGCAGCAGGTCTACGGCATACAGTGTCCCGCAACTCTAGCAAGGACCTTTATGCCCAGTGGGGCGGCTGGCAGCTTGATAGGTGTGCACGCGATTTCCCCCATTCGCTTTTGCGTCAAAAAGAAAGAGAACGCTCGTCTGTGCATGGGACACTGACCAATTCAACATGTGCAGTCATGAGCGCTTAAGACATGTTCGCTTTGCTTGCATGTGCTTGATTTGAACCCTCATGCTTTTCTTTATATGCATGTCCGAACAAGTTTTCATGGGAGACCTTTTCGATATATCATGGCATTAAAGTGTTGCCGGTGATAGAGAACTTCCTAGTGTTTGTTGTTCTCCGAAATGCCTTTGACGGGCATCGAGAGGAAATCTTACTTCATAAGAACGTTGTACGCTTCGTATGACTTTTTGTGAAAAAGATTTGAGTGCGGCTTTCACCGCACGCCTCTCGATTTTGATTTTCAGTTTTGTTTGGAGTTTTCTGCCGATTTCAGTTTCGATTTTAAAACATGACACTTGAGTTGCATGAATTTTTCATGGGCCTTGTATCATCGATCCTTATGCCGCTGCAACTCGGCTCTTTATGAAGAGCACCGTACAACATGTCGTGACGTGCCCTGTTGAGGCAAGCTAATCGAAATTTTCTTGTCCCACCCAGCCCACCCTGGGGATGTAGGTTAAACCAGCATATGCTCGGTGGAGCTTTGGCCCGGTGGGGCGGCTGTGCTTTATGCCCAGTGGGGTGGCTGGCAGCTTGATAAGTGTGCACTCGATTTCCCCCAATCGCCTTTGCGTCAAAAAGAAGGAGAACGCTCGTCTGTGCATGGGACAGTGACCAGTTCAACATGGTAGTCATGAGCGCTTGAGACATGTTCGCTTTGCTTGCATGTGCTTGGTTTGAACCCTCATGTTTTTGAATATGCATGTCCGAACAAGTCTTCATGGGAGACCTTTTTTTCGATATATTATGGCATTAATGTTCGCCGGTGATAGAGAACTTCCTAATGTTTGCTGTTCTCCGAAATGCCTTTGACGGTCATCGAGAGGAAATCTTACTTCATAACAGACAAACAATTTTTCTCACTGTATCGTATCCGTGAGGAACACGGTGAGCTGGATGGACCGAAACCTGTAGCCCACGTATCGACTGGAACCACATTAAGATTTGAGTTTTTCTTTTTGGAGGCCCCCTTGTGTAACATTGGTGGGAAAGGATCAATGCTTTGAACAAGCGTTTGAAAACGATCTGGCGTGTGCTTTATTCGATCCGGGACACACGACCGGAAAACCACCTGCAGCCAAACGGTGCCATGCCATGCAACTCATTTCAGCGAGTGTGCATTTACGTGCGAGCAGCATTGGTGTTGGGTAGGCAGACGTGATGCAGACCACCAGTGCAACAAGGTTGGTTCCCAAAGTTAGAACGGTGTGTGGTAACTAGCAATGCATTGACGGAGGTTTTTTGCTAAGAACTGCTTATGGACAAGAGTGGCATGCAGATTCCACTTCGGGTCTTTGCAGCTGCAATTTGCATTCCCATCATTTTGGCAAGTTGTAGTCTCCAGGCTGCCATTCGTGGAACAAGGTTTGGACATTGGCAGTGTACTGGCGGAAAGTTTGAATGCCAGCCGAGGTTTTGGGGAACTTTGCCGAACTGAGTTAGATTGTGCTTCCCAATGGAGAGTGCCCTGGCAAAGCATGGTTTCTGAAGAGCCAGCATGATTGAAATTTGGTTTCATGGCAAGGTAGTTGTGTAGGCGGCCGAGCGGTTGGCTGCTGAACTGCATGTTTGGCGTGAATCTCCTTCAGAGCAGTCGTTGCAACCGAGGCAGATTATCAAGATTACTTCAGGCCCCTGTCTTTTGCGCGAGTGTATGCCAATGATGCTGGCGCTCCCATGCCAGACAGTGAGAAAACTTTGTCCACGATCGAGTTGCACCGCATGAAAGACTCGGCAGATCAGCTCCTCAGTTCGAGAGAGGAAGGTGGCAGGCTGCAGGAGCTAGATCTTATTGTAACCGATGCAGCATATAAAGTCTTGATGTGTTGGAACTCTGGGGGGCGCTTTTGGTACTTGGAGACGGACGTTACCAGCTCTACAGCTTGCGTGCCTTCCATTTGCACTGAAGAGCATATTGAAAGGAATGTTGCCCGGATGTTCTTTGAAAAGATAGCTCCGCCCGGTTTCAGCCCGGAAATAACCCTTGTGCGCGAGCTCTTTCATTGGGGACAGATGCAGCTGGACTTCGTTATTATTGGGATGGATGGTTGTGGTAGCACATCCGTGCACAGGATACTGGCGCAGCATACGGAGGTCACGTTCACCAACATATCCGTCTTCAACGTTGATGAAGATTTCTTCCTGATAGAGATGGGCAGGCAAACGTTGCCTTTTCGTGCTCAAGTGGAGCGCTTGAACCTTTTTCGCATGGAGCTCCAGGCCCTGAAGGGCGACTCCCAGCTGGTCGGGCTTTATCAGCCCTACATGTGGCATGTTGATGTGCTGAGGTTGGCGATCAAGCAAATGCCAAACCTAAGGGTACTTGCCACAGTTTGTGACCCTGTAGATCGCTTTGAGCGTCGCATGCACGGCCAGAGTAGGCCATCTGACGAGAAGTTGTCGGAATCCGTGGAAAGGCAGCTCAACGACGATGCCTCGGTAAATCTTGCGCAGAAATGGCGTGGGTGGCATGCGGCCTTTGGGCACCGAATTCTTTTCGTTGAGCAGCTTAGACTCAGCTCGCATGAAACGTGGAGAACCATTTCCGAGTTCTTGAAAATCCGGCCATTCCCGCGCACCTTCCGATTCCCACGCTATAACGCACGTGGTTCGCGGTCGAATCTTTGTCAGCACCGGAGACTACTGGACGAGTTGAAGGCTCGCCTCAGCAAAAGCCTGCGTATGCTCTTGTGTCGTGCAGTAGCTCTCCCCGGCGTTTGTGTGTTCGAAGCCCAAAGACACGACCTCGGCTGTTCTCATTTTTTTTCTCCGCCACAGGAGCGCTTCAGGTCGGAGTACGACTTTTTGCAGGAAATCTTCGGATCCGAAGGCTTCAAGCACCGCTGGACTCATTGTGAAAGGCGGAATGAGCATCGAATTTTGAGAGACCGAGATCTGTTGTTGCTTAAAGTAAAGTGTGAAGGCAGCAGACATCAGCATGTTTTGCTTTGCACCCGGTGCAGGATGGATTCCATGAACACCGCATGTGTGAAGGACAGTTGTGCCTAGCCGGCTTCTCCAACCTGTAGAAGTGCTGCACCGGCGAGCTGCGCTACTGTTTCGAATCCCTAAAGCCCTCCCTCTACTGCGCGATTTTGCGCGAAGTGATTCTGGAGATGGCATGTACATGCCCAACTGTGCTATCGGTGGCGGGCAGCTGGATCTCCAACCCAAACAATGTCTAGGCTTCTACCAGGCAGGTTGCTCAAGATCGGACGCCGCGGCACGAGCCAGTGCTCGTCAGACATGCAGTCTGGCAGCCGGCATCTTGTGCAAGCCGTGGCCGCCGGGGATGTAGTAGAGTGCTTAAGGGCCCTTTCAGCTCTGCCGTTTTCTGCCTTCTCGCAGCGGGTAGAAAGTTTCTCTATCCCGAAGCGCATCTCAGCACGAGCGCAAAAACTTGCCGTGGCTGGTGTGGACTGTGTGGTCGGCATGCATTGCGGTTTGGCACATGTCGTCTCCTAGAAGTGCAGATGTTTGTGTTTGCTCAAGAGAACATCATCCAGCGACTGCCATCGCTGGCGAAGGCTCCGACTTCAATGACTCACATGCGGTCGAATCACACATCCCCGTCGTTGTTGCACCGAGCCTTTTGGGCACAGAGGTCGGGGGGTGCGGGATGCACCATGCACCTCCAATTCCAGCGACATACGGCCAGCCAATGGCCACGAGCTCAGCCAGGTAGGTGATGTCTTGCTGTCGTTCTTGGCATGCCTCGACATCCGTGCAGAGATTCTGCAAATGTTCTTTCTTGGTGGGCATATCGGCTCTGGTAACAGCTTGATCCTGGAAGAGACGCTAACATGGGCCGCCCCTAGTCCGCACCTGTGCCTATGGCCCATGGTCGGGTGAGCTGAAGTAGTTGTGGGTGCTGTTCAGGTGATGGATGAGGCCGCTGATCGATCGTGCTGCAGGTGGTCTGATGCGGCACTCCTGATGTTGGCACTCATCTGTCCTACTGAGGTGGCCAAGGTTGAGACCAAGGTCTGTGACTCAAAGGGAAGCCCGGAAGGGAAGCCAGCCTCACACGCCCAGGCAGGACGAGCGTTGGCGATGATATCAGGCTTAGACTTTCTTGTCATGATGTCAGAACCGACCAGAACCGTGACGTTCCTGTAGGTGCTCCTGGAATCCTCCATCAGGGCCATGCGGATGGAGAGATCCCCCGGCAGGCTGGGCATGCTCGCAGAGGAACGGGAGTGCCCCCTTATTCCGGTTGGAGGCAGTGCGAATGGAGCATTTCTTCCCCTCTTCGCTCCCGAGAGGGTCACACTCCGGAGGCTGGGGGAAACGCCTGATGTTGCTTCCGGTCCACTTCTTCCAGTCAGGCCCTTGCCGCCTTGCAGTTACGATTGCTGCAGTGAGTGCTGCGGCAGCCAGAAGCTCAGCTTGTGTGGATTGTTTCAGGCTCGATTCGATCATCTCATCATTTAAGGCTCGCCGCCAGCCGCGACCGGCCGTGCCGAGAGAGCCTTAGTTGAGGGTCTACGGACTGTCACATCTGTCTTAACTGCTCCAGCCACTGACCAGCGGGGTTCAGGTGGAGGCTTCCGCTCCAGGCTCGGTGAGGGGCAAAGTGAGGAGCGCTGCGTCTGAGTGCAAATATCCCTTCCAGGCATCGGACGATGCTGAGCCCGGCAAGCTGCCCAATGCACATGCCACTGCCAGTGTGCGATTTACAACGAAGTAAGTGACTACTTCCGCAGCTCTTCTCTGGTGCTGTGGTCCCGAACTGCGTGATACAGGCACGACGGCTGTGTATGCAAGCAGTTCACAAAGTCTTCGTCTCAGGCGTCCAAGGCTCTACAAAGCTTCGAAACTGGAACGTACAGACTGAGACTGCGAGGTGTTTTGGATAGGCTCTGGCAGAGCCAAAGGCCACCGTCCACCACATGTTCCGGGGAGAGGGTTTCGTGCTTTCGCCAGGCAAAACATGCAGGCATGCTTCCCAGATTGGACGTTGGGTGACGTGGGAGCTGTGACCGAAGGCACCGCAGTCCTTTCAGGTGCTTGCCGTGGGCATACTTGGTGCCATGCTCTTCGGCACCTTTGTCACACTCACCCAGGGCGTCGTCGCGGGTGCTGAATGGTGCCTGGCATGCTAGATTTACCAGGGTCGGAGGAGCTGTGATGCAGAAACGCGTGGGTCTCAAGACCCTTCATGTCAGGTTTGCATGCTACGTCATCGAGTATTCCTTGTCCGTCGACAATCTCTTCGTTTTTATTGTGCCTGTGCTTGTTTCGGGGGTGGCAGCGGCAGGTGCACAAAGGAGCAGGCAGCTGCAAATGTTCTTCAGAATAAGCATGCATCCACACTGCTCTTGCTTAGGTGATCTTTGACTACTTTAAAGTCACTGGTGACCGCCAGCCATGCTCCTGGATTGTGCAATCTAGTGTGGACTACGCCACCCATGAACATGAGTCGTTGAACTGTAGATGTTTTGCATCGTCACAGGTCGCAAGTTCTCAACTACGGCATCGCCGGTGCTGTGGTCTTGTAGTCGCCTTTGCCTATACTTGGTGCCCCGGACGTGGAGCAGAGTTGAAGCGACCCAGGCGTTTTCTTTTTGTCTACCTGGGGGCGCAGCTGCTGCAGCGCTTCGACTTTCTGATCTTGTTCTTTGCTGCTATTCTGGTCTCGGCCTTGCGGCTCTTTCGTTATGTGCTCGTGTCACGCTCCCAAAGCCTCCCAGGTGTATGCATCGTACCAGGCGGGGCTTCGGCTTCACTGTGCTGCGTTTTGTCTGCTCTTTGAAGCCTGGAGTCGCGAGAGAGATGCATTAACTTGGTTGGAAGCATTGCAACGAGGGCCTTGCCAGCCGCGACGATGACGATGATGATGACACAGATTCCATTGAGGAATATGGTGTCTACAAGTCTCGTGCTCAGAGATGCTCTCGACTGCGGGACTACATACAAGTGTTCCGTTCTCTCGTCGATGCCGGCGAGCTGAGGGCACTGAAAAATCTGTTTGAGATCTCGCCGCGCTTGGATGGAGACAAGTTTTTTACAGAGGCTCCGCTGACATTCATTCCGAAACACATGCTGGTCTAACCTCAGCGTGGGCTTGCTGCAGTTGGATGGGAGAACGGTGGCAACACCATTGCTTCTGTGCCTGCTGGTGGTGGAGCTTCTGGCTTAATGTAAAAACAAAAACTTCGCATGGTATGAAAGACAATCCAAAGATCGGCGACCAAGGTTCAGTGACATCGTGTTTGCCACAGATTCTGTGCCTGCTGTGTTGGGAACCACCAAGGCCGGGCAGAATTCTTTGCCTCATAAGACGAGCTGGCTTCGCCTGGTTTACTTGCAGGATCCATTTATCGCATATTCGTCGTCTGCTCCTTACGGCTAGAGGCTAGAACTTCGGCACTGGCTGCGTTGCGCAACTTTTGATTTCAAGACGTTGCTGATCGAGATGACGTAATCATAGCGCAAGGAACATTTTTGCAGTGTTTGGGCTGCGATCTTTGTTCTTCATCCTGCGCGAAGCCATGACGAGGTGTGAGCCGTCGAAGAACCGAACTTGCTTGACCATGTCTGTGGCCATCCGCTGCAACGCAGGTTTACCTACTTGGAGCCAGCGGTGAGTTTTGTGCTGGGCTTCATCGGACTAAAAATAGTTCCTTGCTCAGCTTCTTTGGCTTTAGTATCCCCTCCTGCAACCTTGCAAGACTGGACAAAGGGGTTTATTGTGTCATGAAACAGATCAACAACATGCATGCAGCTGGTAGACCTACGCAGGAGCAGGGTCTCCGGATCTAAGTTCCTGGCAGCAGGAGCCACCGCACAGGAGTTAGACAATTTCCCAAAGTTTGCTGTGCGCGAGCGCGTCGGGTGCCCACAAGTGTTGGTCCTAGTGCAGAAATGGAGTCCAGCTAGATTCTCCAACAAGTCATCAGGCTTGTCTTGGAAGACATCCATCCGACGCCTTTACGAGTCTCCACTCATGACACGTGTTGAGATTTTCGTCACGGACAGTACGTGTCTGCGGCTGGGCACTCTGACTTTCTTTTCCAGCTTGCACGGGATGAGTATAAACCGGCTTCAATCATAAGCATGACAGTCAGGCAAGTAATTTACATAAACGCCGTAATACAACCATAACACAAACCATAACAAAAACATAAGAAAACCATAGCAGAAAAAACTCACAAAGCATAAGAAAACCTTAAACAAATCGTAAACCGTAAGAATATCGTAACCGGAAGGATTCCTGAAGTCATATCAGAATCGTATCGACGCTTCCCGTCACTCTGGGCGTCTCAGAGCTAGAGACGGCCGGTTTTTTGGGTGATTGACGGCCCCTCGACACCGGAGCGTGGAACCTCTAGGTTTGGCGGGTGGGTGGCTCGCATCCGATTGATGGAAGGGGCTACAGTCACTCGTCGTTATGATGAGCTAGTTGGCAAGCACCTGTGAGGTTGTGGATTACTTTGAGATCATCGAGGCAGAATTGCGCTCGGATTGATGAGGTTGGCGATGATGTGGTATCTTCAGGTGCCTGTTATGGGCTCACTGGCCATCGCCAACATCTCAGGATTCCTGCTAAGTCCAACTTGCAGATGCACGTGTCCCCTCGCTCAGGTTCTCTCCATCCTGGCCACCGGGATCTACTTGAGCATCAAGGCCGCACGTCTCGTCCCAGTGACAGCTTCTAGAATTGGTACAAATGCTTCTCTCAAGTCTCAGCTGGAGTGGTTCAGCAGTGGCTCGTAGGTCGCGAGTCAGGACGCGAAGGCTTGTTGCGTCAGTTGTAAAACTTGTCTGTCTGTCTGTCTGTCTGTCTGTCTGTCTGTCTGTCTGTCTGTCTTGGAAGGCAGTGTCTTAGCCTTAAGATCTTGTTACTTGTGGCTGCTCCGGTAGTGCGTTGCGCAGCGTGTGGCTTGCAAAGACTTTCCTGATGTGTCGTACCGTCGCACAGCTGCAAGATGCCTGTCTTCGTAACTCATGAGATCATGCGCCATGCAAAGCAGCTGAAACCCGGCTATGGCTGCCAGGATCTCGACTCGCCCTCCGACACCGGCAGTTGCCTCAGTGGCTGCAGTCCGTCTTCTCCACCGACTCACATCTGTGTCCGCACGCAGGCAAGTAGCGACCCAGTGGAGGGCGCATTTGCTGCAGGTGTGGCCCCAAAACTTGGCTTAACAGCCAAAGCCAGACCCCATGCTGCAAAGCAGCCTTGCTGGCCTCTTGCCCATGCGGACATTGCTAAAGATTTAGTTATCTTGCCATGAACCTGGCATAAAAAAGACTAACTACATGATCCATCCTGTCGTATCCTGTCGTTTGAAGGGCAGGTGTTGCAAGACCTGGCACTTGCGCAGCCGGAGCTGCTTAGACCCAGCATCGAGTGGTTGGTGCTTGCGGAAAAGTTGCTGAGAGCAGGGGCAGTTCAATCCAAAAGCGCGAAAATCCCACACGGTAGGGCCTAAATCAAAAAAAGCCTAGACGCTGTACCTTAAGTTTGGGCCCTAAACCCTGAGCGCCCTGCAGAAAACCCTGAGGGCTGTCGTGCTTCACAAGGCTCGGCCGATGGTCCAACAGGTACCCGGAGTTCGACCTGGAGGTCCCGGGTCGGGCACCACGCTTCTTGGGGTTGCTGATGGGAGAAAGCTCCAGAATGGATATGTACAATAGGTACCCAGCTATGGCTTTCATTTCCACACGGGACCTAGTCAAGGAGCAGCAAAGTCTTGTTGGACATCAAAGCTCCCGCCCGTGGGCAAGTTGCTTCGCGGCAAACTAGATACCGCTATGCGGCTATGCGTGCATCACAGGAATTTGCTGGCCCAAGTTGCTGTGCCCTTTCTATATGTTTTGGGAATGCAGCTTTGATACCGGCTGTGAGTGGCATGGAGCCTCGAGATTCGTTTTCAGCTTTACAGCTACACTGCATTGCAAGTGCGAGGACAAATCTCGCAGAACTTGCAGCTGCCTTCCCTGGCAGGGGACAGTTGGACACGTTGCTGTCCTTGCGCGACGACGAGATGTTCCTGAAAGTCTGTTGTGATCGCCACCAGGAAGATGCCAAGGGCATGCCATTTCTATGCTGGCCCGAGTTTGGGGCTGGGCCATGTGGCGGATACTGGCAGTGTTGCTTCAGCAAGCTTCGCTTCTACCTGCATGAGCCCGCTGGCGTCGAGAGCATCCTCGCCCCGTGGATGCGCCGCAGATTAGATCAGGACTTCGGCATGTACGAGTCGCAGATGGCGACAAGACCAAGACTCCCAACGTTGAACAGCACTCTCAGTGCCGAGCTGTGCCGTGTGTGGATGCCTGGACCTGCTGGGGAAACAGGCCCGTGTCCCCAAAGGCCTGCTCCAAGGTACAGAGGTGCTTGCAACGATCGGTGGGTGTCGATGCTGGACACCGTCTTGAAGGTGATCCTGTGGAACGTGCCGACGACTTCATGGCCAGAACAGGGCTTCTCTTTTGAGCTCCAGTCCTTGAGAAATCTACCACCGAAGGCAGGTCTTCCGGACAATCTCGGCACGGTGCATCCTGCACCGCTTTGGCCAGAAGGTTTGCTTCGGCGCATGCACGACTTCCCAGAGCTCGCCTTTCCCCCGATTTTCTGCTTCTCCGCCCTGCCCTTCGTAAGGGAGGGTGTCGTTCTGATTCCTTCAGAGATTTTGGGCTCGGACAAGCAGCTCGCGAGCCTGGCTCGCACCAACGAGCTGCGCTTGGAAAAGCCTTACACTTCCAGCAAACCTTCCCTTCTCTGGCGGGGGTCGATAGGTGATTCGCAGTCCCTCGAGGACCAGATTGCCTTCCTCCCGCGATCCCACAACCTTACTGACCCGCAAGCCCGGGAAGCCCTGAAGGCAGTGGTTCATCGGGCATGTCAGATTGAGATGCGCGGGAAGTACGTGGCGATGAGCATGGATTTTCCGGATATCTTAGATTGCAAATTCTCGTGTGGGCGCCATCGGACTCTCGAGGTATGGCCGCGGCTGGCAGAGCTCTTGGCTTCATTGGGGCTGCTGGTGGATCGTATGCCGCTGAAGGATTTTCTAGACTTCCGTTTTGGGGCCATTCTAGATGGTTGGTCGTTTGCTCGCAACACGGTGCTCACCCTCGCACTGGATTTGACTCCTTTCCGCGTGGAGACCTATTTACAATGGTGGTATCACGAAGGCCTTCAGCCGTGGGAGCATTATGTTCCTCTTAAGCCTGATGTTTCAGCCGCCGATGTCCGGGACAAGGTGAGATGGGCAACGGCAGAGACCGCGGTTGCAGAGCGGATCGCTCGTTCTTCCACAGCCTTCGCGATGCGCTGGTTCCCGGAGCCCATGCAGATGGCTTATGTCGCAGCAGCCCTGATGCGCTACGCACGGACTTTTTCAACTGGCGGGGCTGTCTCGGGCCTGGAGGAGATTTTCAGAAGCAAGGCTTTGAGGTGACAGCTCGAAGGCCGCTTGGCTTCTCGAATGCAAAGTGAAGACATCCGAGTGCCGTGATCTTGGCCGATGGCTCGAATTCGGCCAGTGTGTTGCCTTGCTCGCGATGCACGGGCAAGGCTGCATCTTTGAGGATTCATCCAACATTCGCTGATCTTCGCTGGCCCGGGAGGGACTGCGTAGGACTGGGTGCTTTCGTCCGGAGCTCGTAGAGGTGGTCCGGAGCCTCCTTCGACATCGAAAAGAGCAGCACGCACGCACACGCACGCGAAATTCTTCTCGCCGAGAGCCTCTGTGTGATCGATGCAGTTTGTCAGGTCCCTATGGCAGCGGCCAGCTGCCAGCGGCTTGGGCCTCGGCCAGCGCACAGTCGCATGCGGGGAACACCTCCGTGTGCGGTCTCATTATGTCTCACTGGCTGTAGTTTACACCGCTGATACTCCGCTGATGTTGAGACCCAAATCTTTCCGCATGGAACAGGTAGCGGAGTGAACGTAGTGTCAGGCCATGGCTCAGATGAATCCGCTTTCCGGCTCGTGCATTCCCCAGCTCGATGCTCGTACAGTAATGGGAGGATTCAGTGCAAGGCCCCCACCTTGGGAGGTATGCTCAATTGCAGCCTCAGCCCGGGCAGCCCGGGCAGCCCGGGCAGCCCGGGCAGCCGGCGTCTCCCACCAACGTCGTACGCCCTGGGCAGGGCAGCTTTCAGCTGCAGCGCCCGGCCAAATCCTGAGAGCAAGTCTCGAACTCTTTAGTGAGCTTTGGGTTTTTTATGACCTCCCAGGTGGGGAGCCTTGGTGCCCGCCTAAGATGCAACCTGGTTGGGGACCTCTCAGCGCCAAGCTGCCAGGTGCGATGGACGGTGCGCCTCAGGTGATGATGCAACACGGTCAGGGAATGAGGAGCCTGCTCGTGGTGAAGCGGTGATTCCGAAGAACTGCAGCTGGCATCGGCAGCACAGGACCGTGCCGGCCAACGCTTCCATGGGACATGGACCGTCTCGAGAGCAGGTGCGGGGCGCGGGGAAGAACGTGAGGCCGTGAGGGCGGTGTTGTCTGCAGGCGCTGCAGCAGCGCGTCGCCGATTTGGAGGAGGCCCTGAGGGGCAAGGACCAGGAGATCAAGGCCGGAGGGAGACTTCCCCATTGCCTGGCACCTCTGGCCGTGTGCATCGAGGAGCTTCAAACGGCTCTTAGCCGAGACGGGAGCCCAGAGCTGAAAGAGCTATAGGACGAACACACCACAGTGTACCAAGGCGGGTATAAAGCTTCCTTCCAGCTTCGCCAAGAAGGCTTGGCAACTTTGATCTTCGCTTTGCCTCCAGCTCGGTCCTCTTGAGGCCAAAGCGCGAGAAAAGGCCCCCGTGGCACCGTCACCAGTGAGCAGCTAGTGACAGCGTGCGTGGTGATGCCTGAGAAGGTCGGCAGCGGCGGCTTTCGGAAAGTCTCGCAGTCGCAGCCTGCGGTGCCCTACGAAGCCATTGACCAGGCCACTTTGCCCACAGAGGGGCGATCCTCCCTGAGACAATTGCCGCAGGAGGATCCGATTGACCTCCGCCTGGAAGAGTTCTACAATGGCACAGGTTCAGCGATTCCGTTTCAGAGGCCTGGAAGGGAGGATCAGATCAAGTTGTTTCATGATGTTGCATGAGCCCCTCTGCAGGATTAACCGAGGATTCTATCGCTTTGGGGAGACCATCCTGGAGCTGAATATCATTAACCATAAGCTGATGGCGCGGACAGAGGCGCGACGGTGGTGCGGGGTTCAAGGATTCGACGACGAGATTCCTTGGTCGGATGTCTCGACTCTGATGCACAGCATCAGGACGGATGGAATCGAAGCAAGTTCGGTCCGATCGAGAAGTTCCTCATGTATTACGAAAACATTGAGAGGGAGAAGGCGGAGTTGACCCCGCGAGAAGGCGGGAGAGAGCGAGAGAGAGTCCACGCGTCCACGCAGGCCGGGATCCTCTTGGAGCCTTGATCCGGTTCACACGGCCGTCGGGCAGTGGAGGAAGTTTTCCCAGACTGTCTGAAGCGTATTTGGTGATGTGACGTCGGTGAGGTAGCTGCTTCCCCTCGGAGGCTGCAGGTTTCAAACTGTGCTAATTGTTTGCATAAAAACTTGGAGAGGAGAGGCCTGGAAGTGCTACAGCTACAGCGTGCTACAGCTATGACGTTCTACACCGGCCCAGTGCCCAAGCTGCGTGACCCTCTCTGAGACGGACAAAGACTATCCGGTGGAAACCCATGGGGAATTACAGGGCAGTTTGCTGCGCTCCAGGCACTTCAGATATTGGTGGTGTGCTTGAAAACCCGCGCTCCTGCGACCCATGCTGCGTGACGACAGTTTGCACATTCACACAACTCCAGATTCACTAGCCACAGCCATAGCCTTCCTCGTTCCGTTTTGGCTTGCGAGTGCTTTGGCTTCGGCGAGTTTCGCGCAGCGCTGCTGCAGCCCAGCTCCAACCCAAGCGACGCCAAGTGATGCATGTGCAAGACCAGGCGTGAACTCCGCCTCCTGCCCTCCAGGTGGCCAGCATGCCGGCCAGAAGACCGCGATCCTCTCGGAATCAGAGAGAGAGAGAGAGAGACCATTCTTCAGACTTTAGCGTCCACCCTCTCCCTTGCTTTTCAGGGCGCCGTTGTCAGATGACGCCCTCAACGTGAGGCAGAGCTCATGTGGGAGGGAGATTTCCAATGCCTCTGGGAGAGTCTGTGAAGCACAGCAGGAGCAACGGCGCGGGCGTCGAGGCCACGGTTCAAGGGGCAACGTTGTCGCGCGCCTAGCTCGCCAAAGCTCTGCCAGTGTAGAGCGGAAACAGCTCAATATGGCTCAATTGTGTTGGTAGTAGCACGCCGGTATGTGACTTCAACATGGATTGTCGCACACGTCATGGCTCAAGTCTGACGGAAAACAGGGCAGTGGTAACTGCGTGGGTCGAGGGGTGTGATTGAACGAGCCAGGGGAATCAGCAGGAGGAGGACTGAGTCCCATCACCGACCAGACAGATAGCAAACCAGCTCTTTTGCTGTCAGCTATGCCACGTCG